GTGTGTGTTTTTCTCTTATATATATATATATATAGAGATAGATATATATATATATATATATACAACATACACATATATACTGTGGATTTTTTTCATTTTTTTTTCATATTAATTTGTTTTCACTTCCACTGCATTCCGAGCGGGAAACAGGCTTACGAATGCCCGGGTGCTTGTCAGCCGCCCCTCCCGTTCCAGGAGGGGAGCAGGGAAGTGATTTCCAGCAGGTCCCACTTGAATTGCTTTCCAAACTGCCCTTCCCATCCTGACAGATGCAAACCAGAAGTGGCGCATGTAAATGTGCCCTTCAAAAATGCTTCTTCCTCCTTTTGCGTGTCACTTGGTGGCACTGTTACAGAATGTAATTGAGAAAAATCTGTATTTGTTAGGCAGGCAGGAAAAGAAAAAAAAAAAAGCCAAGAAAGCACTTTTGTTAGATTCATGCCACACAGGAAGTATCAACAAATGTCATTTAGTCAGAAACACTTGTATTGTGAACTGGAAGGTAAAAGCTACCTCGGAGCAGAGGGGCCCATCAGGGCCTATAGGGCCGTCTCAAAACACAGAGGCAGCTCCATCCCCACACACCATGAACATTATAAGGTCATAGTTTAGAGGGAACTGATCAGTAGCCATTCAAACATCTCAGGGCAGCCTGTACGTAGACAGAGAAGCAGGGCCCATGGCTCTCAACTGGTCATAATTTCTACAGGTCTCCCTGGTAATTTAAATTTACTAGCAAAACAGTGCCTGTAGGAGGCACATGTTAGCAAATAAAATTGACTTCTAAGCACATTGGTAAAGACATGCAAAAGACAACACTGAGACTGTACAAGAATATGAGAAAACCCATTCTAGCAAACAGTGGAAGTGCATAAATTATCCATATTCATTATTTTAAAAAGTAATGCCTTTCTTTTTTTTGATAAATTGTTTCCAATCAGACTAAAGTAGGGCCATGTGAGTTGAAATCCAGTATTATCTTTTTAATATGAGATTTGTGATGCCTTAAAAGAGAATACAGTTCTGTGCCTCGTACATTGTGCATAAACCACCCAGAACTGACTCTTGCTACCAGCATTTTTTTTCTGTCATATATGTGCCATGAGCAGTTATCCGCAATTTCATGACTGCATAAGGTGCCGCAGCTGATCCTGGAGGATGGTCCTGGGCTGTGGGAGAGTTGAGGGGAGGGAGAAGGAAGAATTGTGCCATATTTTAGGGAAGGTTCCTCATTGCTCCTTAAAACAATAAGAATCCCAAGCCCTGTCCCCCCCTGTACGTGTCACCCGATGCGCAATCATGTGACTCATTATTTAATGCACTGACTCCGCATCTCTGCCGAGAGAAAAAAAAATAAAGAAAAGGTTGAAAGAGCTATTTCAATGTAAATAGTTCCTCTGTGGGGAAAAAAAAAAATGGAAATCTGGTATATGTGGATGCTGAAGAATCAGAAACCAAGATACGATAAAAGGAATCACCTTCGGACAGAGCAGGCGCCTGTGACAAATGATCAGATTGTGACTGTGGCCTGGAAATTGCCACTCGTTCAAAAGGAAGTTTCATATTTCTCAGGTTTTCCTTTGAAGTCTCAGCCCAAGAATGCCAATTTCAGTATGGTACAAGATGAGAAGCAAAGGCACTAACTGCTGAAGCCAGTCCATAAGGATATAAAATCAAGGCCTGTTTTTGTTATTTTCCAAATTTGTTTCTATGATTTTTTAGCCTTTATTATTTGCAGGCAAGTTGATGATTTGTGGGTGCAATCAGACAATTAGGTGCATTTATCCTAAAGTTGTCGGACTGCATAATTTCAAATGACAGTCCATGCATATCAGCTTGCAGGAATAGGATTTCAGTGGCCTCCAATATGTCTTCTAAGATGGTAATGCAAAATGTTGGACCTTTTATTTTCAGTATATGAACATACATGGTTTTATTATATTAAACTGTTAATTTTGGCCCAGATTGCGAAGTGCTGCTGCAGTATTTATTTACCATTTTGATAGAAATACCTTATGTACAGCTCAGTGTCAATAAAATATGTTATTGTAAGATATTTGAAAAAAATATGTGTCAGCGACTCAGATCTCATGAATCCCAACTAGTGACAAAAAATATTCATTTGAAAATGCAAAGAAAATCCTGAATGTTTTCCAAAGAATAGTGGTGTTTGGAAAAAAAAATAAAAGGTCAACATTTAATGTTAATTGAGTATGCATTTTCTATATTTTGCTCTAGAGATTTGAGAAGATACATAATTTGGAGATAAAATTTGGACTGAAATACCAGTTAAATTGAATGTCTTAAAAGCCATTTAATACTATACTCAAAAATTATTAACTTGTTGAATTTTAATGTGGAATAAGAAGTTCTTGTTCTTCCCTCTTTTATTCAATATAAACAGAGAACTTTTGAGGCATGACAGAGGCATTCATTCAGGAATTCAGGGAATCTTCCTTGCAAAGGAGGAAATCAAAGAATAAAATAATACTAGTCAAGGACAGTGTGATCAGTTGAACTCTGAAGCAAGCAAGCTGGTCCCCACTTGAAGTATTTTCCTCCATCCTTCAAAATAAGAGGAAATTCAGAAAAGTACATGCAAATGAAAATGGTTATCCATACATGTATCCAACTGAGGCCCACAGTTGTCCGAACAGATTGCTCAGCCACATCCCCCCTGAAGGGATTTTGAGGAACTAGTGACTCCAGCCTGCAGCTCCGGCCCAGACAGGACCTCTACCACTGGAGGGACGTGAGGAAAACATGCCTCATTAAGACACATAGTGTTCTGTATGTGTTAATTAACAGCGGGGGCTCTTGCAACACTTCCTTTTTTTAAGTGCTGCTTTCCTTTTTTGCGTGGTTTGAGAAAATATTTCCTGGTTCCTTACCGAGAAGATTTAGAAAGGACATAAATGAGAATGAGAGGAAAATGTGTACCATCTTTTCAGATAACTGTAACCATCCTATCTCTGACTGTAGCATGAGAACCATGAGTTGAGTGCATATGTCATTATAATAGCCTGTTTCAACATTAGTTTACTTTAAATGCATATACTAATGAATTTCCAGCATAACTGCATAATTTGAAAAAAAAAAGCTTGATCCTTGTCAGAACAGTTGCTACTTCTTATTTTCTCTAGGAAAAGAGTAAATAAATAGCTGGTGTTAAAATCCTATGGCTCTAATGTTAAATAGGCTCCAATGTTAAAGCCCTAACCTTACGAAGGTCATTAGAAATTTCACTACTAACCTCAGCTTGGTCAGATTGCATGAAACATTCTCAAAAATCAGCAAGCTGAGACAAAAAGAACTGCAATGCTCATCAATACAATTCATCTACAAATTGAGATCTTTAGAACCATTTTGTAAAAATGGTTACCATTACAGGGAAAAAATGTGTATTTACATACAGCCAAATAATTGTACTATAGGTTATGAGCGGTAGGAAAATAATGTGTATTTACATATAGCCAAATAATTGCAGTACAGGTTATGAGGTCTAGGTACCTTAAATACCTAATTTTTAATTTCACATTTGTTCCTTTTTTCTTCTCTGTATTTCACGTGGGTTCATGAAAATATTTTTGCTACTTCCGGGTTTTTTAAAGTATTTTTTCTTCTCCCCTGTGAATCTGAAAGCTAACTCAAATGCACCGTATTCACTGGGGTAACAGGGTATCAGCATATTTTTTGAGCAAGTTGAAGCAGGACTCTCAATAAACATTTGAGGTGGAAAATGTCTTTTGCTGCAACTGCAACTTCTAAAATCATATGACTTCTCTGACTTGAGAACGAAAGTAACCCTGCACTTTCTGCTCTTACTCAACAGTAAAGTTGATTTTCAGATATATGACTTCCTCATTGTTAAATGAATACCAGAAAAAAAAAAGTTGACAAGAGAGAGACACTTCTAAGCCTTTCCATGAGATAGTAAAACAACAAGATGGTATTCCATGTTTGGGATCTCAGTCAAGTTATTACTAGGAGTTGTGAGAGTGTTTGGTAATGGAAGTTTTGTTTGGTAATCCAGGTTTTAAAGGCTTTTACAGCAGTAACCTGATTTAGTGTTTTCTTACACCCCAAATCACTTTTAAGAGATTCAGATTAAGCTGAATGTAAAATAAAGGGCTCCTTTTAGCATCCAAGAATGGACGTGATAGTTGCAAAGCTTATGGGCCGTCAGAAGAGAAAAGAAAACCATCCATATACAAAACTAGTATTTCTACGCTTTCACCAGTGTGGCCTAGCTCATAGGCCTATAGACAGGCATCCACGGTCACCTAGCCCAGGACCCATTTCCCATCCCGTTGCCTACATCCAAGAACAGGCTTGGGCATAAGCATTTCTCAGGCACAAGGACATTCCTACCTCCTTGCCTCCATGGCAGATTGCCCTTGGCTGTATCTCTTGCTGCTGTCCTCTGCACATCCCCAAGGACGACTCCTTCCCCAGCAAGTTCAGTAACCCTGGGCGGTTATTGCGCTTGCAAACGAGCTTCCCAATAAACTGAGAAGCGCTCTGAGCCCAAAGCGAGAATTTGTTCTCACATTTTGACCTTCCTTTGCCATATAAATATTTATTTGCCAAACCTTCTATAGACTAAGAAACTGTAGCCTGGAGATAAGAAGTGAAACCTGCAACCTAGAAACTGCATGCAGGAAGCAAGGGCCGCACATACCCAGAGACAAAGCAGAAATGAGCAGGAAGCAACTTACAGTAACCTGAGCCCCTTCCAGCTGCATTAACAGAGCAAAAACAGCACCATGAACATGGCAATAAGATGATGACCGTCCCAGCCACCCCCAGCACCTGGAATGGGGCAACCGATGTAACACGCATGCTCACACAGAGAAGGAAATACATAAGCAAACTAACCAATTGGGCACTCGCAAGTGGAAATCTACATAAACAACCCCAGACATGAAGACCAAGCCAAGGCCTTTGGGCACCCTTGCTCTGTGAAGGGTTGGCAGCGCCGGGTTGTGCACAGTCAGAGATGAGGTGGGACACGGCAGTGGGCTCCAGCTCAGTGCTCGGGGCACCAGACACGTTCCCACGGTGGGATAACAGAATGAACCCAATTAATGTGCAATGTGCACTAGCGTCCCTCGCTCGACGGATGGCATGACAGCTGATGAAAACAGGGCTGCAATGGAGTTAGGAATCGTGGCTCCCAATCCTATTTATGAACTGTGTGGCAGAAACATCTTAATTCAATCTTCTTACAACTTTCAGTGTCAGGCTTTTCTCCCAGGTGGGCACCTTTTAAGCTAGACTTTTTATTATTATTTCATTTTATTTAAGGCACCTAACTTAGCTTCTTGTATGGCGGAGCACAGACCAGCTGTGGAGCTTCGCACTCCCGTGTGATGAGCGCAGGGATGTTAAGCGTGTGCATATGCTATATATAAGCACAGTGTGGTCCACGCGCGATCGCACAGGTGAGGTTGGGTTACTGATCACTAGTGCTGCTGCATGGGAGGGTGTTGGGTTGTCACTAGTGTATGGGACTGTAGGACACTAAGACCTGTGGAGTCTCCCCCGGTGACCAAGGTGTGCAATTGGGCAAGGCAGAGGGCCAGATCTGTCCGCAGGGGTGTCTTATGGATCCCTGCGGCATTTCGAGCAGGCCTGCAGGCCTTTCCTTTTCCCCTTTCCCCCATTCAGCACGGATTTGAAGCGACGCCTGAAGCCGCTCCCGCGCAGCTAAGATGGCGCCGGGGCGCCCTGC